TGTGTGTGTGAGAGAGACAGTGTGTTTGTGTAGACTGTTGTTGTTGGGCTGTGTTGTGATAGCTTAATAACTGAATGCTGGTTATCCCAGTGTACCTTAATGGTATAAAGGAAAAATGGCATACAGTATATATACAATATGTATCAGCTGTATTTATCTCTTGTTAACACTTATAACCTGTTTTAATTATTTAGTTATTTTGTACTTCTTTTATTGCTGGTTGTATTTCTGCATCAACGCATACCCCATCAAAACTTTATACATAATCTGATATATGTCAAGAATAGTAGAGTCCTAGTAACATTTAACTGCAGGTTTAGGAGCCTTAACTTCAAAACAAGCTCAGGACACATATGTGCATATGGCGTCAGTAAACCAGAGAAGGAGAAACAAGAAGCACACTACTGGCCTGCAGTCCAAACATACAACCACACAGACTTTTTCAGATGTGCACCTGTTTCAACACAAATCAAAATGTTGTGCCAGTGCCAATATTGCTGCTGAGGGTGCTGGACGCTGAGGGCACAATCCACGTTTAGGCTCTCTCTGATCTTTCTATTCATCAACCATATATAATGTATCTACTACTTATGAGTAAATATGGACTAAATATTGTCTTTATTTTCAAGACTAATTGGATTGCATTTAAAACCAGTTTTCCACTGCTGAAGGAAAAATGTTTTACTGTTTAGTATGACAGGGCCACAAAAAAGAGACATGATAAAATCAACTAGCCAAATTTTTCCACTCTCAGAATATAATTCCAAACATGTATATTACAGATAACAGAGAATTATTTTTTTATTTTTTTATTTGTCTTGAAAGAACTGGTGAAACCTCAAGGGTTAGTATGCAATGGCAGGCGTTACTATGTGGTCTTTGCTCTTTCATCTCCTCAACCTCTTGTGATGTTGATAAGACTTTTAAATACATGTCTTGAAAAGTTTAAATCCTTGGAAGAGTTTTTGGCGTGCGATTAATTGGAAAAGGATCAAACCCTTCTTGAGAGAGTAATTAGTGTGCCTCTTTGAGGACTTTCTACTCATTGCTTTGGCCGACCGTGTACTAATCCTCACAACAGCAACCCACACTGTAAAAAATATCCACATCATTTAACCTCACTTTTACTTGCTTAATATTCACAAATAGTATATTGAATGAAATATTGAAATTGTATGACTAGGAAATTAGAAAATGTTTCTTCAGGAATATTCTTGTATCATTATGAATACTGTGGAGTGAATTATCTGTAATGTTCAGATATTTTTCTGCATTAGAAATCCCCTATTAGCATGGCGTCAGTTACTGAAATGAATTTACAGCATGTGAAATGATCTTAGAATAGGACTGATCCATCAGGCGATAAGAGTTTATAAGCTGATCCTAAATTATAATCAAGATGTTTAGAATTAGTATAATCTTGTATTACCAGTGTGATGATAAACATGTTGAATCTTGCATTCAATTAAATCTTAAACTGTACCTGTTTGTATTTACTTACACTGTAATGTTAGTTATAGCACTCTGTTTACACATCTGACCTATCACCCACAGGATCAAGAGTCTTTCAGCTTAACAGTGTATGTCGTCAGGAAATGCTCGAGGTACAAACTGCCAACACAGGGTTAAAACCACATTGCTGAAACCCTCATGTTATTGAGAGTAACCAATGACTAAGGTTCATTTTAACCAATAACACCTAGTGTAAAACAGTTGATGTAATAATGCTCCATGAATATGTTGAAGTCCAACAACATTGAGCTGCTTTAGGTGTAATTTAAGTACCAGACAGAAATTCCTGAAGTGTTTCATGGATGTAAGTCTTCACAAAAAGTTCTCTTTGGATCAAACCAACATACACCAGGCCACATGTGGGCAGTGATGGCTTTGAGAGTTAGCCATACAGTGCCTGTTATTTCACAGTTTGAAATGTGAGAGGGTGTTTTAACATGTATACCTCTTTCTGTTGTCTCTCCAGCTCCTTCATGCGGATCTCTCTGGCCTCTGCCCTGGCGGCCCTCTTTGCTGCAAGCCTGGCCTCAGCCTGTGGGACAGATAAGAAATCGAAACACAGAGAGAAAGAAAAGAGAAATGAGGCAGGAGCTGAATTAGACAGGCTAAAAAGACTTATTCAATTGCCAAATCATGACATACATTATCTCAAGGCACTTTCACGTCAAGGCATATTAAGGTCGAGACCTTAGGTTAAAATTATAGAGAAACACAACAGTTCCCACAATGAGACAGCAAAACCTCTAAATGCTGTGACCGAAGGTCCAGTTCTTCCACGGATGTGAAAATGGTAACACATTGTTGGGTGATAAACGCACCAGACACTAACTTGCCATCTGTAAAATCAAAAGGAATAAATGATTCCTTTGCTGGATGGTGCAGATATAGATATTCCAAAGCAACAAAACTAAAGATTCATATCACAGGTGGTCACAGGCCTGACTCTGCAGTGTGTCACCCTACAGAGGAGTATAGTATCTATAAAAAGAGTATTATATCACTTTAAACTCGGAACACACCTACTGATCTGTATTTAGAAGTAAACAATCTTGTGACAATCATCAGACATGCAGTCACAAGTAAATGTGGATTCATGTATATGTCTGTATTTGAGGGCTTTGCCTTTGCTCCACACAGCTCTTGGGCAAGAGCGCAGCCTTTTCCTTAAAAGGACTTCTCTCACAGTGTGTACTGTATGTGTGTGCGCAACATAGTGTGTGAAAGCATTTCCTTCCTCTGACTTTGCGGTAGACACTATGCAATTACAGCTTGTTCGCCTCTAGGTGGGGTCACTGCAATTCCTCCCTCTTACCATCACTCTAATGCATTTGCCCGTGTCAGTCATCGTGACCACACAACAGGAAACAACAGACAAAGACCCAGTTTCAAAGAAAAAGGCCTTCACCCCACCCTCCACATGCACATACACACACAAAATTAAGAAACTTCAGGCCATGTTTCACTCTGTTCACAGTCATTTTTTTTTAAAGAAAAAAGTAAAACATGTTGCGTTCCAGTGAGTAAAGAAATCTACTCCATCTCCAGGACACTGACCAGATTACTTTTTTCAAGCATTCGTCAGGGAGAAGAGAACTGATGTACCATTGAGGCAAGTATCTACCCAAGTTCACTCCCCTTTAACAACCTGGATGTCGGTTGGGCCACATTGTCAGAATTTACTTTTTAACTATTATTTATCATTTACTTAAAAATAAGTCAAACAAAAACATATTTTAGAATATGGAGTCACACTGTCATGTAGAAAAACACCTCTGATAAATGCAATACTTCAACATCCACTCCACCTAAACGATGACCACAAAGTGGTGAGAAGTAAGAGGGAGCTGCAGCACAGTAAGCATCTTTTGTGGACTATTCAATGCAGATTTATTTTAGGCAGATACTAATATCAATGTTTGGGAGTGTTATACACAGTAACACTTGAAAAGTATAAATATTATACTTGCTGACACTTAAAACATTAAACTGTACATTTTAAACAGTATTAACATTTGATGAGGATCACTTGCAGTATTGTTTCTCAAAACAATTGTGATCAGTATACATTGGGAATGTCTTTTTAGATACTATGTTCATACAGCCACTCATTCCAGCAATGTGACAAAGCAATACCATTAAATGAATTCAGTGCAACTACACACAACATAAAATTACTCCATATGACATGTATCTATACCATTATTTACAGCCATGCCGATGTGTGCATCAAGCTCCATTGTTAAACTTAAAAAATCAGCAGGGCTATTGTGAACATGTCTACATGTCACAACACTGTTAATATCAGGATATAAGACATTTTACCACAAAGAAGGATTTCTACCTGTATTATCATGAACGATATGCTGTGATAACACCCAAAACTAGCAATGTCTTTAAGTGTTTGCCTCTGGCTGTATACAGTATTTAACCAGCACTGTGTGATGCTTCATAACAGTTTCAGAGTACAAAAAACACACACCTGCCTGTACTGATGGGTGCAAGGATTCTAACCTTTCAACCAATAGAGGTCAGTGCAGTAATGTGTCTTGTCTGCACAACATGTAGTTTGTATAGTCTCTGTTCCTTATCCTTTCTTTTAGCTAATAAATATAACAATATTTTGTAGAATGACTGAGGTCGTGTCCATGCCTGAATTTGCAGTTAAGACATCAGAGGTGGAGAAATGCACCACATTCAAATGTTTTTGTAAATGTATCCGAACGTTGGAGGACATATTCCAGGAATACCTCTGAGCGCTCCCTCCGGTTCACTCACTGATTAAATAGCATTTTGTCTGAGTTAATGATTGGTCATCGTCCTTGGGGAAACACGGAAATAGTCTTGATCTAATGCCGTGGCTGTGCTGATGCATCTACACTCAAGCATACTACAATGACAATTCATCTTCCATGAGCCGACGGTCCGAAAAGTTGCAGCGTCAGAGGACTAACATGACTTTGGACTTTTGCTCTGCAGCAACATAATACAGCTCTTGACAACCATTTAGTTAACCACTTTAATGTAGGGGTGGGACATCAGTTTGCACTTATTCTTTCTAACTGCAAGCTCAGGAGTTCAGAGTTTTTACTCAAATAGTTTGTCATTTGTCACTTTGCATTAACCACAGAAAAAACTGCCTCACCGACTTTATTCAAATTAGATAAAGAAGTAGACACATACTTTACATCTGCTGTTTTTAATTTAGGTGTAGGGAGGTTGGGAGACAACATACATCTACACACAACACACACAAAACAATACTCTAAGTGGTAGGACATGCAGACAATCATATCATGTTGAAGTAGACTTTCCTGTGAGCAGCTTACTTGACACTGTGAATTGTGAAAGCAGGAAGTCTATTCCTGATGTACCACAATTGATGGTTGACAAACTATGTCATCAACTCTTCACTTAAATAAGGCCAATGCGAGAACACAGCTAGCAAGTGTTGATGACTTTTCTCACACACCACAGCAGCGAAACTGGAAGATGTCTTGTGTGTGACAAGACATAGGAGAAGATGTCAACTTTGAAAGAAAACGAGATTCAAGAACTTAAGGCGATAAGGCCCCACACCTGACACAGGTGTAGGGTAAACAAAAATGTCATTTCCAGCTTCCTGCATGCTTTATCAAGGTGTCAACCCTCATCTGAATGTTGGGAAATGATCCTGTTGTGAAGACATCTGACCCAGAAAGTATCCTGCAGCGTTCTTCATACGCGAATGGCACACTGGAAAATGTCCAGACGGAAATTTTCTGGAGTTCATGTCTGACAACAGCTTGAAACAATATTTGATTAAATGTTCTTGACTGAAATGAGTTTATTAGAACCAGGAGGAGTTATACATTTGTCCTCATGTACTGTCTTAATGTTGAACAATGGCAAGAAAATATTTTATTGACATGGAGTTATCGGTCTTAAATAAAACCCACCAAATGCAGTATCAAGAATAGACAACACATCATATATTATAGATGAGCTTGTTTAGCATAATCCTTCACAGTCACTGGTGCAGAACTGCAAATGTGTTGAAATAGAAATCAAGTCAAGCGTGACTAATATTTCACTGTCACCTCCCGTGCAGATAGACAGTTTACACACTGGCATCAGTAAAACCCTCGATATGATGTGCAATTTTAGGACTAAATGTTTGATATATCTAATTATATGTATAAAAACTACAAGTCAGACTTGCATTCTACATTGTAAATGAGAGCAATCCTGGATTATGTGCCATTCCACACACCACATATCTGAATTACTGTATATTGTAGGTGCCTCTAGATAGAACGTTTAACCTAACTAGGCCAAAAGACAGCATCACACATGCTTTATGTTCCTCATTCACAGCTATTTATAATGACCTACATGGACTTGGGTTTTATCAAAACTGTTCTAATTCAATGGGATGACTGTTCTCAAGAGAACCAATGAGCTAGTTCATTACAAAAATCGAGGCTTTAACAAGATTGACCACTTGGACATTACGTCTGAAATGGTTAACGTAATGAGAGTTCAATGGATGGGTATTTCCACAGAATTGTGTAAAGGTAATTTATGCAACACAGTTTATAATCGCCATCATCCGATTCCTAACATCAGAATGATCTGAAAGAAGCTTTAATTACACAAATGATGGTTTTAAATTGCACTCCATGGCCTTACAGTTTGCATGTGACATGTTGTGGTGACTGCAGTTGACAGCTATGTTGGCCTGGACTCTGTCAACCTGATCTCTTGAGTCTACTGACAATCTCCAAGGGCACCAAACCTTCAAGTGCCACCACAGCTCAATGCCTGTCTGGCCTGTCTCTAACTCATGTGAAATTATTTCCCACGCCCTGAGTGCCAGTCTTCAGCAGCCAAAATGAACGGGTATTTTAATGACCATGAGTGCTGACAGGATAGACAATGACAGCAAACAGAAATAATCCAGATTTCTAACCAACTACGGGTTTGACTGGATTTAAAGTGAGGCGGGACCATTAAGTGCACACACACAGTTTCCTTATTATCCAGTCAAGGGGGATGACGACTGACTAGGAAAAAAGAAAAGAAAGTTTGTTTCTTCTTTGGAAAAGCTAGTAATTCTCCCATATGCTGCCTAAAAGGGAGTGGCTGGGAAAAAGCTCCGCTCATCATGTTGCCACAGACATGAGTCAACTGGATGGATGTAATGTTATGGTGGGAGAACAGAATAAATAAGCCTGTGTTCCAAAACCCTAAAAAGCCCCCCCCCCCAAAAAAAAGTATAAAGCAAAGATCATTTAGTGGATGATTTACAGAGCTGCAGTGTGGTGCAGGTCTGCAGCATGGTTGATGTATCACAGTTCTGTTGTGTTGGAACAGGATACAAGGTTGTGGGTGTTTGTATCACAGATTTGACCTCAGTTTCAGAATCGTTATTTTACTGTCAACATTCATTTACTGACAAGTAAATCAGAAGCTGTGGCCGCAGCAACATCTCATATTTTTGATTTTGAATAAGTCAAAAAGATAAATATACGGACAAGGGTGGATGTGCTGTGT